AGGCCCTCATTGTAACATCTTTCAGTACAAGAGTTGCACAGTAGCCGTACCCTTTAATTTCCTTCTGCTGTATCTCTTAATGGACCAGTAAAATGTTTAAAACCCTGATTTTATATTACCCCAGCAAGGAAATGCTCTGTAAATTCCTTCCTTCCTCAGATTACGTTTTTTTTGCTGCCTCTCTCTGCTAACATTGTGCTAAAGTGATTACTTGGAACCACTGGTTCTTTGCTGTTCTCTAATGTTGTCAGTCTTGTCAGAAACTCTTTAAGGAAACCTTCCTATGAGGCTCAGCTCCCCTCTGGGTGAAATAGTCAATGTGATTGGAAATACTTTTGTAGGAGGTAGAAACCTTTTTGAATGTTGAAGTCTTCTCATCCTCTTTTAAAAGTGTTATTAGCAGACTTGAAATTTTAAACAGTTACATTGGAGATGGGAAAGTCCAGGCAACAAGCTCTGCTAATCCAATAGCCCTTCATTTGCCATTCAATTTGGATGTGTGGAAGTTTCCAGGTGCTGTTTGTATTCCGGGAATCTGTCCCATGCTATTATATGAGTTGACATAAATACGTTAATTGAGCAATGCTTTTGGTTTGGATGACTTTTAGATTGCTTTGGTTTATGTAACTCTTCTGCAGAACAGATACAGTACGGACAGCAGCAGTTTAAATCTCCTCAGTAGTATTCAGCAACCTTTGGGAACCTGGACAAGAATGAAGTTTTATTTAGTGAGTCTCTCTGAAGAATGGTGTGGCTACCAGGTGGGGAAGGGAGGGTCGGATACCAGCATAGAGAGACACTCAAGGTATGTGAGGGGTTGAATAAAGTAGGTTTAATGAAGGGCTTGCACTCCAAACTGCGCAGGGAGTCCTGGAAACTCTGCGGAGGGGTCGCTGATGGGAGGCTGCTGGATGGACAGGTTGGTTGCCCAGGCAGGACTCCCTTGGTGTATCCTAAGGGCCCCTTTTATCTACTGTAGCCATTTCCTTATCTCGACTATGCTAAGCTTGAGTAGTTACTGGCTGCGAAGCAGTTAGACGCTGCTGAGAAAACTGAATAAGCCTATCTGGCCCTGACTGGTTTCAGTCAGTGTGTAGAGAGTGCACTCCAGGCTGCTATTGCACGCTCTGCCAATCACCTGACTCCTCACCAGATCTTCTGCAGCTGTTCTCTCCAAAAGTGATAAGATGGACACAGGGCCTGATCACACTTTGTGTGCCTGCAATGTTCAATCCAATTACTAGCCATTAAATAGTTATCATCATCTGTAGATCGGCGCCACTTATATATGGGTAAAAAGCTTTGTGTTCCTCTGCTAACTCTTAAGGTTTGAATCATTCCTTTTTTTGTGTTGGTGGAAATCTAACTAAATGTTTTTTTTGCCTTGATTCTCTTCCCCTGTACTTCTTATTCTTCTGGTATAACTGAAGAGGAAGACTTTGTTACTCTACTGTATCTTAAACAAGAATTCTACTTCATGCTAATGTTTGTATCATGTAAAAGGATGTTTTCCATTGCAGTTTTGTGATCAAGCTGATCTCGCCAATTTTCTTTGCAGATGTGCTATTTACTGGGACAGCTGATGGAAAGATTTTAAAAATTGAAGATGGGGAAATACAGACCATAGCCAGAATTGGCCATGGTCCCTGTGGTAAGTGACATCTCCTGAACATGTCATACCTGAAAATGTTTGGATCAGGACTTGTATTGATAAAGTTATTGTTCTGTCTGGATTGCTTATGCAAGTCCATGTATTACTCTGTAGAGATTTGTAACAGAAATATAAAGATTTATATGAATTGGGTGTGAATAGAAATGTGTGTAAGCACCAGCAAGAACAGCTGAACAAAGGGTTAAAAGAATGGCTGGCATTGATAATGAGGGACACTATTCCCAGAAATGAAATTGAGGGATGTGTCTGTCACGACTGCATGTCCTGATAGGAAACAGGATGCAATCCTAACACCAGGATGAGGACAAAGTTGCAGTATATCGCAAGTAACGTTCCTTTTCCTGTTAGCCTATCCAGAGCAAACACATATTCTGAGTAAGGAAAAATGGGCAGTGAGTGGGTAAAATCAACCTATTTAGAGATTTTTTTTTGTAAATAAATATCATCCTCCCCTTCTATAAAAAAAAAAAAAAAAATTTACATTGAATTTTGTTATGCTAGTTTCACTTTACCTCTACCTGTAAGTACTGTGAGGTCTTGTGGTGGCTGCACTTGCTTTTGCAGAGACCTTCCACTGGTCGTGGCATTTCCATATTTTTACTGCTAAATTGCAGTTGTTTCCTGCTAAAGTCCACACCTCTTCACGAGCAACTTATTGCTTCATTTAATACGCTTTGTGGAAGTGAGTGAGAACAACTGCTAGTGGCATGTTTATTAATGGAACAGTTTACATGGAGAAGCTTAAGGTTGGCAACCTCAGTCTGAGATGTCTGGCTGGTGTTTGTTGTGACTGTGTGTGTGTAGGTGTGTGTGTTTTTGTGTGTGTGAGATGTAGAAGCCTGTGTTTTGGTGACAGAACTGTAGCCCTGTGCTGGTGGCATGTTAAACAGACTGTAAGTTGGGGCTGTTGCTGTCTTTATTTAGCTTGTATTAACATGTTTAGCATTTTAGCTACGTAACTTTATGTGGCTGTTCACATGATTTCAGCTTAAATTGATTTGGAAGCCTAAAGCCTCTTGGCTGCCTAACAGGTAGGAGAGCCTTGGCCCTGACTGCAAATCAAGTCTGCTGCCACCTGATTAAAAAGCTGAACTTCCAGGGGCTGCTTGGGCACCCGTGTGGGTGGGGTGAAGGCAGTGTATCACCTTTAAAGAGCTCATTTCCACTGGACTTGTATAGCTTGTTCCTGAGAGAGATGGGGAGATCATGCTGTAGTGCTTCTCTAGGGCCAGAGAGATAGTGGAGAGCCCCAGCTTCAATCTTGCCCCCCTCTCTTGGGGGAGAAGCAGAAAGGCTGTACCTGACCACCTTCCCCAGAAGGCTCTGTCTCTTGCTAGTGTTGCAGTCTACAGGTGTTCTGAAGTTCTTGATTTTTTTTTTCCAAGATTCAATAGGACATAAATATTGCAGATTTTGCAGTAATCCACTTCCTTGTTGTAATCTCATGCAGAAGTGTTCAGTGCCTGTCTTGAAGACTGTTTCATCAGAGCATTAGACCTTTCTGAGAAGGGAAAGTGTGTGTTTTTAAAAAAAAAAAAAAAAAATCCAGACTTTTAAAGAAAAACTTCTTTCTGTGAAGAAGTATCACAAATCGAATTATCTTTTATTCAGCCCTGTTTAGGGCAGTTGTTAGCTGTTTATCAGCCTGACAAACGGTAGAATAGTCTCCATCTTTTGACCAGTCTAGAGACATCTATTTCGTTTATGCCTAGGAAAATAAGAATGGTGTCTTTAATATGTGTGTGTGTGCACTGCTGGCTGTACTCTTGTTAAGCTAAAGTTTAACGTTTGTGGATGGCCTGAATGCCTTGTATTTATTCATATTTGGAAAATAATTTTAAAATTGTTTTCTAAGGAACCCGGGAAGATGAGCCAACTTGTGGAAGACCACTTGGCATCAGAGTGGGGCCAAATAACACCCTTTTTGTGGCAGATGCTTATTATGGACTGTATGAAATTAATCCTGACACAGGTATGACTTTACTGTTCAGCAGTTGTCGTCCACTGACCAATCTGTGCTCCGTTTGGAGTTCTGCCAGATGCTGCAGGCATAAGAAAGCTTGCCTTCTCCTTAAAGTGGTTTGGAGCTGTCAAGATGAAATATGCCATGCAGGAACTTTATATTTATTTTCTTGTAGCAATCACTTCCTCCCTGTATCTGTTTATCTGGATCAGAATTACCTGTTGCTTATCTTCTGGTGGCGTATGCTTTCGATTTTTGAAGTTGGTACCTCAGGATCCATAAATTAAGCTCTGTGTAGCTGTTTTAGTTCTCTTAAAGGGGGGAAAAATAATATTGCTAATACATAAGCTTTTTGCAAAGTTTGCTGTACTTCTGTTTCTGCCTTGATCTTGCTATGTGGTAGTAAAGAGCTTTTATTCACCTATGGATTGAGGTTGCAGGGAAATTGAGGGTGTATTTTGATGTGGCTAAAGTGATCAAATGGTTTTCTCCTGATGAGAAAGGCACTGTTGCTTCCTGCCTTTCATTGTTTCTGAGCCAGCTATCAGCTTCAGGAGCTGTGGCGTTAGAAAACTATTGCTTTTTTTCCTCTCACTCTCTCTCCTTTTTACTTTTTTTCTCCTCTTCCTTGTAGAGTTAACTTTCCTAAAAGTTTTGATCTCCAAATTGCTCCATGTGGGGAGGGAGAAGCTGGCCAGAATTCCAGTTTGCATTTAATGGAAAGGCTTAGACTCTGCAGCTTTGGAAGGATGTGATCAAGGTCTCCCCTTTTAACAGTAAGCTGCTATCAGATCAGCTCAGTCATGTCAAGAAAAAAAACAAACCTTGTGCACAAGAATGACTTTAATAGTTTTTAAGTTATCTTCGAAGGCCCCTGGCTCTGACAATTAAATATCTGGTGGTATGCAGAATGTGATAGTGCAGTTCAGTGAACTTGCTGGTGTTGAGTTCTTGCCAATGGTTTAATATTTAGAAAGTATTCTTCTTTGCTCCTGTAAACTGATGGGAAAGGATTGAGTAGTGATTGGCTTGCCTGATTTCTTCTATAAGGTTGGGGCCTGAGTTTGTACTTGGTTTAAAATGAGCTATGGAAACTTAGCGTGGCACTTCTCAATAGGAGACAACTTCTACTGTTTCAGTTCTTCTGTAGAATATTTTCTCATGGTCGTTTTCTACCAGTGTTGAGTACTTCCCCCACAACCCAAATCCTTATTACATAACAGATACAAAAATGGAAAAATTGTGAAGTGCTTGCTAATTTTGTGTTAGTATTTAACTTTAAAGTATTTAACTTCCAAAGCAGAGCACGAAAGTTTGTCTGGTGGATTTTTTTTCTTTCCTTTTTTTTTCTTCTCTTTGTAACCAGGTGAAACAAAAATGCTTGTCTCAACCAAAACACTAATTGAAGGTCAGAAGTTGTCTTTTGTGAATGACCTTACAGTGACCCAGGACGGGAGGAAAATCTACTTTACTGACTCCAGCAGTAAATGGCAAAGGCGGGACTACTTATTCTTGATTATGGAAGGCACAGATGATGGACGGCAAGTATCTCTTCCTAAAGACGCTTATTGTAAGCTCAGCAATAGGAATGACTTGGCCACTTGCTTGGTCTCCAAGTTCTTCTTTTTAAAAACCACTTGTGCAAACACTGTACTGCCCATGAAATAACTGAGATTCCTCTTTTTCCTTTAAGAGGACTTTCATGGAATCTCTTTTTAAAAGTAAAGGTGTTGGCATTATAATTGGCCTGAATCCCTCATGAATGCTGCCTATCTTAACTTGCCCAATATTTTTTTTCCTGTGTTCATAAATGTTTCATGGCTATTCTGCCTTTTTAACTTAGGTCAAGCTGGTGTGAGAGGAGGGAAAATACCTGGAGAATGAAACCAAGATGAGTAAATATTTTTCTTCACTCACAAACGTGTATAATGTTCTTTTGTTAGCCTGCTCGAATATGACACAGTAACGAAAGAAGTGAAAGTTTTAATGGTGGGGCTGCAGTTTCCCAACGGAGTCCAGCTCTCTCCAGCGGAAGATTTTGTCCTGGTGCAGGAAACAACCATGGCTAGAATCAGGAGGTGAGTGTGACTTTGAAACTATTACTCCTCTCTCCCTGCTGCTTCCCCTTGCTTTTTCTACTTAAAAAATTTTTTTTCCTCCTATTACTACTATTCTTTGTTTTTCCCCAATGAATCCCTTTTGGGACTTGTGTTTGTCACTTAGACTGTTTGAGTGAAGATGTCTTAATACTGCTATTTATAACTTTCAGGTATTATGTATCTGGGCTGATGAAAGGCGGAGCAGACATGTTTGTTGAGAACATGCCTGGTTTTCCAGATAATATCAGATTAAGCAGCTCTGGAGGATATTGGGTAGCTATGTCAGCTATCCGACCCAATCCTGGATTTTCTGTGTTGGATTTCTTGTCTGAAAAACCATGGATTAAAAGGATAATATTTAAGGTAACCCCTCTCCCTGTCTCTCCTCCAAACAAAAAACCTTCACGTTTAGTTTAGGAGTAGAAATCATAAATCTTTATCCTTTTTTCTCCTCTTCACAGGAAGGTGGGTTTTTTTTGTATGCTATGATTAAAACTTCTATTGTCTCCAGTTCGAACAATCTCCATATGTTCAAAGATAGTACAAATAACACTAATTTCTCTGTTTAGCAGGTAGCCATCTCTTAAGCTGCTTTCCATCATGGTCTTAAAAAAGAAAGAGGGGTTATTTTTGCCCTAGTTGTGCTGCAACAGAGGGTCGTCTTTTGAATGTATGAAGACTCCACCTTTGTATGTGAAATGCCTAAGCTACTTATTGCTAGGTGTTTGGGAAGTCTGACCTGTTCATATGGCCACCCTAGGCATCCTTTTTAGCCAATGTTGGAGACGATGTGTATGTTATATATAGTGCTAGGTGAAACTTGTCTTCTGATCCAGTGTGCCTGTTCTTATATCACAGCCCCTTTAAGATAAGGAGGAGCACGAATAATTTTGTAAGGGTTATCTGATCCTCAAGAAATTGGATGGCGCTTTTTAAGCAATGCAAAGACTTGAAAATACTTTAATCTGATAGATTTGTTCTCAAAAAGTCAAAAGAAGCATTTAGAATCAAAGTCCCAGTTCAGCTCAATGAAATCTCAGCTGTTCTGTGATGTCTCTTTAAAACCTGTTGTTTCCCCTGGTGCAGCAAGGGAGCCTTAAGAGTGATGCTATGGAGAGCTGAGCATAATGTCTGCAGTTTGGCACCAGCTGTGCCAGAAAAAGTTGATGTCTCCTGCATCAGTGTGGACATCCTTTCAGCCTAGTCCTGGAGTACACGTCTATTGATGATTCCTTTAAAGTTGGCTTTTTAGATGTTTAAGTACACATTTTGAGTCACACTATTACACAGGCATGTCTTCTTATCCACTTCCTCCAGGGAATGTGGAATGATCTTTGACTTTGTAAGTGTCCAAGATCCAATAGAACAATTGTATAGAACAATCTGTTAACTTCCTTTTCTTTTTCTTTTTTTTTTTTCTTTTCCTTTTTTCTTTTAGCTGCTGAGTCAGGAAACTGTGACTAAGTTTGTGCCCAAGTATAGCCTTGTTGTTGAACTTAGTGAGACAGGATCCTACAGAAGAAGCTTCCATGATCCCAACGGAGTGACGGTACCTTACGTTAGCGAGGCACATGAACACAAGGGATATCTCTACCTGGGCTCCTTCTGGTCTCCGTTTATTTGTAGACTTAATCTTCAGCATGTTTAATTGTCCAGCTATGACGAAGTGCCACAGTCCTTTAATACTGCAGAGGTATGAAGGAAGCTTGTGCTTGAGACAATGTATGGCCAAGGAGGAAAAAGAAGACGATCAGTTAATATATGCAGTAGGACTGTTCTGTTGCCATGGCAAAACATGAACAGCTCGCTGTTATCTGTAATCTTCCTTGGTTTGGTTTGGCTGCTCCTGCTTTGGAATTGGCATGCCTAATATTAATGCCTGAGAAGTATGTTGAGGATCTTCATATGGTTAAATGCTCCTTAATTTAAAGCCTCCCCCAGTCCTGTTTGGAGCTATCTTAAACAGACATCATAAGTCACCTTTAATGCAACTGTGTATCTTCTTACACTGGAAAGATCATTGGATTAATGATGTATCATTTGGATTGAGGAGATGTTTTGCATTTGTTTCTTTCTGTTTTAGAACCTACTCTGTAGGAGTGATTACAGTGCATGTTCTAATGTCATACTGTGGTGCTGTGGTAGAGGCAGCAACATCCAGAACATGGCTAGAAATCTAGTTGTACCACCTGAGTTTCTTCAATCCCAGCCTGTGTAATCAACATCTGAAACTACACTTGACTGTTAATCAATGTGCAAAATCTAATTTGATCATTGTCTGTGGAGTCCTGTGTTTCTTTATAGCATTATAGACAGATGGTGTGTTGAAGTTGATTTTTTTTATATGGTATCAAAGACCAGTGAGTTTAAAATGGTTCACTTGCATAACTGTTTCTTCCATGGTTCCCAGGTCCTGTAAGTCTCCTATTGGTTATGTGGGTGGCCTGTCCACAGAGGCAGGGGAGGGAAGAGGGTCAGCCCTAGGAATCCTCTTCAGTATGCTCTTTATGGAGAAATGGCAGAGTTTTTGGGGAAGGATGGTGTCTCAGGACGGGTGTGAAGTGAAAGAGCGCCTGCAAATTCTAGTGTGATAGTGGATGAGGACGGCCTTGGTAAAAATCTTGGTGTGCAAAAATAGCTGGTGGATGCTTCCTGTCATCTCCAGAGGAAATAGTTTACTTCCTATATTGACTAATAGAAAGTTACAGATATGTTCTGTAAGTGAAATAAATCCAGAGATGCTTTTCTCTCTACTGTCACAAAGAAAAGACTTTTTTTTGTTCACATCTTGAATAAGTGTATTTTCATCTTGTATAAGAGCTGAAGATAATGAAGATGAAAGGGGTTATGATGTGCGGTTGTTTGAAAGCTGGTTGACTTAGTGAATTGAGTCCTGCTCTAGGACTGAAGACTTCACTGCTTTCCCTTTTTCTGCCACTGGGTGATAGTCAAAGATAGATGTGCTCTATTCCTCAACTTCCTCTCCTGTAAGAAGGAAATAATCAAGACTTATTTTTGATACACAATGAAAAGCACCAGTGCTTTTACTGGCTTTCTGTGTTTGTCTTTCTTAATGGGAGGGATATGCAAATGAAAGTGATTATTTTCTGCTGATGCTCCTGTCTCCTTGTGCTGTAAAGTTTGTACTACTACCAGCACTGCAGCAGCCCTGTGGTGCATAAGTGATGCTTGCTTTATCAGGCTGTCTTGCCCTGTAACAGGCTAGGGGCTGGTCACTTGCTCTCAAGCCCGCTTGCTTCATCTAGCAGTTCCTGGACTTAGAAGGAAGCTATCTGAGAGGAGGAGGAAGCCTAGTGGAAAGGTTGCTGCAAGCTCTGACCTTGGATGCAGCTGAGCCCTATCTTAATAGTTTGTGGACAGGGACTGAGTGATATTTTATTATTATTATTTTTTTTCTTTTGCGTCGCCCAAAAGGCTAAAGAAGTGTGATTCCCCTGGAGGGGACAGACTACAAAAGCTAGGAGGAAGGCCCAGGATGGGACACTATTGCACAGAACAGGCTATTAAAGCAGCAGCTTGTCCCTTCCCAACAATTACTGCTTTTTGTCCTGTTCTCATTGGCCAGGTGTTTATGTTCTGCTTTAACTCTCACAGCTGCAAATGGGGCAGGCTCCTTATCTAAGGTATTAAGCAGAGGTGAACTTGAAGTGATCTTAAATCAAGGGTGTGAACGCTAGTCTGTCCTGGGCTTGTTTGCATGTTAGTGGTCTAGTAGCATTGATGCAAAGACAGCTTTGCTTGTTGTCACACAGAGCTTTCCTCTCTGTTTTGGGCTCTTCTGGACCCTTGTTGTCACTTAAGCAACTGTGGACTCATGAAGAGGAGGCTCTGCATTGACCGTTGGGCAGGAGGTAAATGTCTGGGATCAGGGCTCAGAGGTAAGCAGGAATTCATGCACATAAAAGATCCTGCATAGTTTACCTGATAAGATGGGGGTGGCAGGATGAGGAAATTTTTTTTTTTTTTAAAATTGATCCAATCTGTACTTAGTTGTAAAGTAGCTGAGTAGCTTTCAGTCTAAACGTAGCTTGTCTAGAGGGTCAGCCTTTCGACAAAGTGCATGAGAGTGCAATTTTTCTCAATTTAATTTCTCAGAACGAATAAAGACTGTCTGCCCAGGCTCTGCAAATAGAGAGAGTTCATAGGTTACGGGTCCACTCTGCAGTTCCCTTATAAAAATAGAAAGACCATTGAACTCTGTAAAGCACTGAATGTAAACTGTGGTTGGTGACACATCTTAATGTCATTCTAAGCAACAGATTTTGCATGGTGACAGGCTGCTTTAACCAGGCCATTGGTATTTTGTTTCTCCCAAGTGCCTTAGGGCTCCAGCTAAAATGATCATAAAGAGCGGAGAGATCTGGCCGTCTCCTGTGTTTTGGCAGCGTCCTGAAACTGTTTACAAGATTTTCCAGTGTTATACTTGGCCCTGGAAGTTAGAGCTCAACCTGAAGCAGAGTGGAACAGCAACACAGAATCACAGACTGGTTAAGGTTGGAAGGGACCTCTGGAGATCATCTAGTCCAACCCCCCTGCTCAAGCAGGGTCACCTAGAGCACATTGCCCAGGATTGTGTCCAGACAAGTTTTGAATATCTCCAGTGAAGGAGACTCCACAACCTCTCTGGGCAACCTGTGCCAGTGCTCAATCTGGATCCTCACGCTAGAGAAGTCTTTTCTCATGTTCAGATGGAACTTTCTGTGTTTCAGTTTGTGCCTATTGCTTCTTGTCCTATTGCAGGGCACCAGTGAGAAGAGTCTGGCCCCTTCAGATGTTTATTGACACCTTCCCTTCAGATACTTCTACACATTGATGAGATCGCCTCTCAGTCTTCTCCAGGCTAAACAGGCCCAGCTCTCTCAGCCTTTCTTCAGAGGAGAGATGCTCCAGTCCCCTCATCATCTTTGTAGCCCTCCGCTGGACTCTCTCCAGTAGTGCCATGTCTCTCTTGTACTGGGGAGCCCAGAATTGGACACAGTACTCCAGGATTGGCCTCGCCAGGGCTGAGTAGAGGGGCAGGATCACCAGTATTTTCATGGAGGCTCAGGTACTTTTAATCCCTGATATTTCCTCAAATACAATCCTCACAGAGGAATAGCAGCAGTGTTAAAATGCCTGTAGAACAAACACCAGCACAAGCTCCTCTTGGCACTAGCATGAGGACTGCTTTTATGGGCTCATTCTGCTTTCACAGCAGCATGAGGCAGTGATATGTTATAGTTTCAAATAGTTGTTGATGCATTTACTTTTAGCAATAGAGAAGGCTGGGAGAAAGCCAGCTCCATCTTCTTTTGCTTGATAGTAGCAGTGCAGGAACATAACACCTTTTCAGCTTGGAGGCTGTTCTCTAGTGTGGACGCATTGACCATTCTGGAAGATCAGTTACAGTAGTGTCTAAAGAGCTTGCCAGGGCAAGATGGTTTTGGGTGGCAGGAGAAGGGAGCTGTAGCTCCCTAAGAAGGGAGGAAAGCCTCTCTGCACAACTCCCAAAGGAGACTGAGGATGCTTCCTATGCTTTTCCCAAGCTTCTCTTGGGACAGCCTGTGCAGAACAAATGGGGTGGGGTGTGGGATTCAAGAGCAGTGCCCAGTCTGCTGAAGAGTTTGAAGAAATCTGTGCATCAGCACACAACCCTGCAGTAAAACAGCCTATGGAAAAGGGACTGAGCTGGAATACAAAATGGCTGTGCATTTTAAAGGTATGTTTTGTAACTGTGCTGGGAGGGAAGGGGAAGAATGATGTTTTGTTGTGGAACAGATGTTTCTGCGGGGTGTAAGTATCTAGAAGATTTTGCTGGAACTGTTTAAAACAGTTCCCCAGCTGACTGCCCTGCCCCTACCTATAGCAGAGCCACTGGAAGATGACTCAAGTGCACCCAACACTCCTGTGCAAAAGTTGATATCGCAGTGTAAATGGCTGATGAAAGTGGACTTGTGCTAAGGCTTTACAATCAACTCCTTTGAATATGAGCGTGCTTTGGGTCAATTACCCTTGCAGAGATGAGGTGGTGACCTCCACCCTTTGAAGATGACTGAGCACTGGAACAAATTGCCCCGAGAGGTTGTGGAGTCTCGATCCTTGGAGATCTTCAAAGATCTTCAAAAGGACACAGAGGCCAGTGGCAGGCGGTTGGGGGGGGGGGGGGGGTGGGGGGGGAGGGGGTTGTACTAGATGATCTCCAGAGGTCCCTTCCAACCTCAACCATTCTGTGTAAACTTCTGGATCTGTTTGCTCAGTGGTCACAATGGAGATCTTACGGGCCTCACCCTTTGACCTCCTCATGAAACTTATATAAATGAAGCAAGTGCTGTAAAAGAAAAACTACACTGAGCGCAATTCATATGCGAGCCCTTTTAGGGCAGAGACTGAAAAATTTAGCAGTAAGTGGCTGTAGTGACCTAAATGCAACAGTTACTTCCCTCTGGTCAGCAGAAGTCATGCCTCTTCATCTAGTTGCCCCAAAGTTAAACCTTGCCTTGCTTCTGTGCAGCTGTATGCATGACTCCTCCAGCTGTCTAAGGTCCTGGAAGACGGTCAGATTGTGAAGTCAGGTACAACTGGTGTATGAAGGCCTTCCAAGTCCCTAATGTGAAGATGTTGATTTGAAGACTGCCAAGTGGTGAGTCTGTTGGTCAGAGATGCTTTATTTTGATGGCAGGCAGGTTGTTTCCTATGCAACTGAAAAATAGGGGTGTGAGCAGCTGCTCTGGTGTCCAGCCTGTCCCTGGGGAAGCTGCTGCTCAGCAAAGCTTGTGAGCAAATACAGATCCCAGTCTAAGGGTCTGGAGATCACTCGGAACTCTGAAGCTCCGGTGAAATTCAGCCTAGCTTGCTTTTTTGTGTGCGTAGGGCTCCTCAGCGTGCAGTCAGTCCCTTCCAGCAGCAGAATGCTTGTCTATACAAGGCCAAGAATCCTCTTGAGTAGATAAGCCAAGAAGTACTGTAGGCACTGAGCATGTGGTGCTTCTAGTATGCTGGAGAGAGATCTGAAGCCAAAGAAAGCTGCTCCTTCAACTTGTTCTTAATATTCCTGCACCACCTGATCCCTGTGAAGTACCACCTTTGGTTGTCCTAGAAGCTCTTAATGCCACTGCTGAGGCTGTTCTTTTTTTTTATCCAGCTTCTGGAACTGGTAGAAGCAGCTTTCCCTTCTCTCCTGAGGCCATGAATGTTCACTAGATGTGTTTGTTTTCAGGTAGTTGATTAAACCTGGAGAAAAGTGTGTGTCCTGGTACCTTGGAATAGATGTCAGATCCTCAGCAAGCTCTGCAAGGGAGCTCTCCAGCTCCCTGGAGTCAATTGGTGAACAGTTAACCTTGGTGTAAATTCTAATAAAGATGTCTCCTGTGCAGAGACATGGGCTTGAATGCTGCATGTCATTGACTAAATGTTTTTTAGCTGCAGCTCTTTAGGTCAGTGCTAGAGCCATCCTTCTGATGTGATACTTTGCTAGAGAAGGATTTGGGCAATTAAAGTGCTCTGGAGTGGTGCTGAGAGCTTAGTCACCTTTTAGCTCTGCTCCTTTCTTTTGTGCTTATGGTAACTCTGTTATCTACCTGCATCACAGAATCCCAGAATGGCTGAGGTTGGAGGGGACCTCTGGAGATCATCTAGTCCAACCCCCCTACTCAAGCAGGGGCCTCTAGAGCATGTTGCCCAGGATCGTGTCCAGATGACTTTTGAAGATCTCCAAGGATGGAGACTCCACAACCTCTCTTGGACCTCCCTTCCTTCCAGGGCCCTAACACATGGGATTCCTCCAAGTAGGTCCCTGAAGAGGCCAAAGTTAGCTCTCCTGAAGTCCAGGGTTGCAATCCTACTCATTGCCCTGCTTCTTCCTCACAGGATCCTGGACTCCTCCATCTCGTGGTCACTGCAGCCAAGGCTGCCCCCAACCTTCACATCTCCAACTAGACCTTCTTTGTTTGTTAGCACAAGGTCTAGCAGCACACCTCTCCTTGTTGGCTTCTCCACCACCTGGGTCAAGAAGTTATCCTCAATCCTCTGCAGGAACCTCTTTGACTGTTTGTGGCCTGTCTTTCCCAAAAAGCACATAGCCCCCCATGACAGCTTTCCAGTGATGGGAATCCCACTGTGTCTCTGTAACTGCAATGAGATCATGGCCCTGCAACTGCACACAGATCTTTAATTCTTCCTGCTTATTCCCCATGCTGCATGCATTGGTGTACAGGCATTTCGGAGAGCCAATCGAGCATGCAGGCTTCTCAGGAGGGGTGCAGGAAGATCCTCCATAGCCATGTCCCCAGCTGCATGCACCCACTGGAGGCATCCCGACTTGAGATGCGTTTTGCTGACTACCCTGTCTCTATAACATTCCCTTTCCCCCATCTTTCCTAGTTTAAAGCCCTCCTTACCAGGCTGGCCAAGCTCTTGGCAAAGACATATGATGGACGCTGCTCTTTCAGTGTTCCTTGTTTATCACAGTGTTACAGTAAACACTTTGCTGCAGCTGTAAACATGAGGCTGACCTGTCTTTCTTTCTCAGAAGGTGCTTGCCTGCTCCCGGGTTAATTACAATGAGCTCAACTGTGTTGCAGTTCATACTGTGCAGTAGTTTTATGTAAAACGTGTAGCTGTCCTTGGCTTCCAAAGAAGCCTGTTTAGATAGAGAGATCCAAACAGTACTGCATTTTCCTCAAAAGAACTGCAAGAGCATGTTGGGTTTGTCAGCCTGCCTGAGGCCAGGTGTGTCTGGCTATAACTTTTGCTTCTTTAACGCATGGGGAATTGACTCAGTGAGGGGATTAAGAGATGAAGCCCCTTGTGCAAGGGGCTTGTAAAGTGAGACTGTTCTGGGTTGTGCTTATCTACTTGTTTGAATCTCTGCACTGCCCAAAGCTGGTTGTGTGCATTCCTCTTCCCCCACTGTGGCACGTGGAAAGGCTGACTTCATCTGTTACTGTGTACCATGCTATTGTGTTGGCTGAAGGAAGAAACGGGAATCTGTCTGGTCTGTCCTGGGCCAGTGCTGGCTAGAGCTGACAGCTTGGTAGCAAGCCTTTGGCGTTGCTGCTATGTGAAGCACTCAGCTGAAATGGAAGAGGGATGAGACCATTGTAACCCCTTTGAGATGCACAGAGCAGCTCCCGTGTCTGTGGCCACCTTACCAAAGCTGGCTCTGTTCTTCCTTGTCTTCTTTCAGGCAGTCAACGGTGGCTTATGTGATGGATGAACGTAGTGCCACACTACATCCATCCATGGCCCTTTTGGAGGTTTCTTCTGGGCACTACTTTTCTCTAGCTGAGACTGTCCCTCCCACAAAGATATGATATAGCACAGCTGCCTTTCCAGAACTGGAGGCTAAATTTGAGCCACTGCTGTGCATCACCTGTGCCACCCATGCCTCACAAGTGAGGTTTCTCAAGCAGAGCTTGAGACTTGCCCAGCCTGCAAAGGCATGCTGTGGGATTGCTTGGAGTAGAGACTTCAGCTGTGCTGTGAATAGATCTACCTGTCTGAAGGGTCCTGAACCTCGCCTGGAGCCCTCACTCGCCTTTTTGGATGGAAAGGTAGTTCTAAACGTTGAAAGTGGAGATGCTGCTGCTAATAAGAGGTGCAAGACAGCTCCAGCAAGGCAACAATTGTCAGGAGAAAGGGCATGTTTGTGGAAAGGAGGTGTTCTTTATAGCTTGTCAGGGCCCAATCCACTTATAAGTGCTGGTCTGTGTATTACTGATCACAGGTCCAGGCTTTGTTGCTGCTTTAAGGGAGCAGTTACCTGTGTTACTAGTACCTAGTGATGTGTAAGCAGTAATCTGTCCATGCATGAAGAGTGATGGCTGAAGCAACAATAGATACCTGCTGAGACCAGGCCATCGTTCACCTAAATGCTAATATAAGCTGTGGGCAGCCAGAAATTGAGCATCTTCTCTTAACCTGAATGAAACCATGTTGCTTAACATCAGCAAAAATGTGCTTTGGGAATACGATTGGGTTTATTCCTCACAGTGTTTGTCATGATGCCCTTCCACAGAACAGATTAGCCTTTGATTAAAGTAGAAGTACTTGCCAGTCATTTCTGGGCTGTGGGTGGGTCTCAGAACAGCTTCTTCCATTCTCTTCTCTTGAGGCAAGATCAACTCTACCTCACTCGTTCCTGACAGATGTATCTGATCTTTTCTCTAACACTGAAGACTCTTCAGACTTTATTTTAATTTTGTGTGTATGTATATCCCCAAACAAATTATCCCACTGTTATAAAGCTCTCCTCAGTGTTGAAGTCATGTGTGCTGTGGTTTAGGCTTATTTACTTCATGGCTGCATGAATATCTATCACAGAACAAAGTTAAGTCCAGCAAAGCTTCCTGAGTCTGTTCATGCTGCTTGGAGATGATTCAGCCAAAGAGGGCAGATAGTTTTCTAGTGAACGAGTGACAACAAGTTCTCATCTGCAGTTTAGTTTTAGGAAAAAAAAAAATACAACTAGATAGCGGTGAATTCAGTCAAGGCAGGTCTCTCTGGCCACCCAGATCTTGAGCATCTCCCTCAGGAAAAGAGTCACGTGCTTTGAAACAAAAGCTCTGTGGCAATTCTGTACAGCTGTTGTCTAGCTCAGTTTTGACCTTGGCAATCCAGGCAAGGAAAAGCTCTCGGTGAAAATTCTCCCTGTGAGTCACGTTCTTACAGGTGAAAGGTGGGTCAGTGGCAGAGAGCAATGGGAACTTGTACTTGATGTAACCAAGGCATCATCCAGACCTCAAAATAGCACCTCAGCACCTGCAAATAGAAGGGGAATTGGTGACTAGGTTCAACTGACTGTGCCAGTTCTCAGCCTTGGGGGCCGTGTTGGGGCAGGAGAGAACTGCATCCTTTTTTCCACTCCTTTTCTCCCAGGAAAAGTACTATTTGCCAAGTAACCGTATCTTACTGGGGAGGGCCCAATAAGGATTTCCACTGCCCTGCTGCCCAGGAAGTCTCAAGATTTTGCAGCTGCTATTTCTATGCAATTTCACCCTGCTCTCCAGGAACAGGGAGCCTGGGCCAAATAGCTGTGCCAGACTCACTCAGCTCCTTTTGGCCAGGACCTGACCCTGGATGCAGGAGAGGTGCTATGCTGCTTATACTGGTAAACCTGGCTAGCCCCACCTGGCTCTGCATAGAGGAGGCTTATATATCTATGGGGACGCGGCAGAGCTAGTCTATATGGTGACTACGCAGCTAGGGATCACCAAGAATCACATGCGGTTACTGGGTACCCCAAAGGAAGCAGGCACATACTTGTTGGAGCTTTTTCTTCCTCTGGAATTTGCAGCTGTCCAGGCTGGAGTGCTCCCTCTTCTCACACACTGTGCGTCCAATTTCCACCTGCAGCATGTATTTCAGTCCTCTGACGATCTAGAGAAAGTAGTTTCTTACTCTAATGGCAGTGGGAAGAAGTGGAGAAAGGGATGCTAAAATAGAATTTTGGCTAAGGATCAAGCGCTACGTCTGTGAATTGTGTGTGATGTCATGGTTAGAGGTGTCTTGCGTTGAGTTGTCGTGGGAAATAAAACTCTCCTGCAGAACAATTGAATGAGATGGAGGGACATGTGCTGTTTATTTTTGGTAGGCATGCTTAGCAGTCCTGAGGGCGATCAGCCTTCCCACGTTTGGGGTGTTCTGTGGCAGGGTCAGTTGCTAAAGGGTTTGGAGGAGCAATAACATTGTGGGCTTTTCTTACCTGCACCATGGCTTTGTTTATTTGCAGTTCTTTAAACAGAAAGAGGTCGTTGGAACTGTTGTTGTATTGGTAAACCCCAAAGCGAGCTGCCTTGCGAACGCCGGGATTGTTGGTGTTCATGGAGACGGGGAAGCCAGGTTTTGTGGTTGAATGAGGTGGTGGTATGAGCACAGCTGGAACAACACAGAACATGAGCACAGAATGGGTCTCCTGGTGCCTAAAATGGTGGAAGGTTGGGGTTTGTTCAGGCCTCTGAACTGAAGCTAAGCCTTCATACTTGTCCTGTGCACCTGTGCTTCAGGAAAGCTCTGCTCCCCTCCGTTAGAAAGTAATTTTACTATTATTTTTTGTAATGCTTGAAACGGGGAAACAAACCTGTGGGATAACGTGACAGGAAAAAGACCATTGCCTCTGCTGGAAGTGGTAACAGGGCTCAGGTTGGCTTAGAGAAACCAGGATGTAATAAATATTATTTAGGATATTTCTGGTCCAGCTACCTGCTCAAAGCAGGACCGACTTTGAAGCTAGTTATAAAGCTAGATCCTGTTGCTCAGGGTATAGTATAATTTTGATAGCTTGTCAAACACTGGCTGGCAGAGCCCTACTGCTCTTATTTGGCACACCAAGATGAACTTGCCAGGCGTGTGCTTCCCTCCTCCATGCGATGCTTTGGTAGCATCTCGAGACTCTTATCTCGGAGGGATCGTGTGGTGACAGAGTTGAGGGTGGGGGGAAGACACTCTCCCTCAACATGCCAACGATGGAGAGGGTGCTTTTGTCCTGCAGCTGGGCAGGGAAGGCCCTGGGGCATAGCTGGTTCTAGCTCTTCACTGCCCTGGCGGTGGACAGTTTTGGGCAGCTGTTGCACTGAGCAAGTGCCAAGGACCATCACCTTATCACAGCCATGAAGCAGAGGGACAAGATGCAAAGGAAATAGAGATGGAGGGGGAAAAAAACAATTCATGACAATTCATGAGCACTTCTCTCCACTCAGCACTTAGTGTCTTTAGACTTAGCTGGGTAGCTAATTTTCTTCTCTCCTTACCCCCTGCCCCCACTTGTCTTTTCAATAATTTGAAAGATGCCTGAAGTTAACAGTTGATGCAGGTATTCCTTCCCCTTTACGCTCTGCCATACCCACTTTTGTAATAGAAACAAGAGGGAGAAATCCTCAACCTGTGCAAGTTGTCACATAACCACTTCTTATGGCAGGATCTACCAGCTCAGGAGATGGCCCTTGGAGTTCACTATGTATGCTGGAAATGCATATGGGCATTTGCACACATGCTTGCATACAGGGCTTATATTAATTCACTCGCTGAAAGTCAAGCTCTTTGTCACCTCCAGCTCTTTTTCACACCCAGATCTCTCACTAACAGCCAACAGCAGAGCATAACCTCTGTCTTTAAGCCACTTCCTACTGAGAAAAATATTTAGCTCATCTTGCTCCACAGTAGAAGAGTTTACCTGGTGACCCAGAGTCTATATTTAAAAAAAAAAAAAAACAAAAAAACAAAAAAGAGCATGCATGCCACCATGAACATACAAAGTTGAAAACATTCAGCTTTCAAGTTGGTTATGTACATCCTAGTTTACATCATCATGTCCTCCCCTGCAGATTGTGTTGGCTACATCCCCTTGTAACACTGCTTGATGATTACAGCACTTGACATCTTGACGAGCTCCCCTTCCCTCTTCAACTGAAGGAGGTTTAAAGGCACATCCCTTCTTCTTCCTGGCTAATCCCCAGCTGCCATGAATGGCCAAGCTCCTCAACTCAATGAGGCCTATGTTTTCATGCAATTGGGATCTGTGAAATACAGGCCATATGTCTGAGTGGATGTTTGGCAAGTGGCATGGGGTGACAAACTTTCCTGTCTCACACCTCTGTTCTGGGATAGGACCTGGCACTGTTGGCTTTCCTACCAACTCAGAATCCACTTGTAGGTCCTGAGACTATTCTCTAGAAGATATTCCTCCTCCACTGCAGCAAAAGTGGGATTAAAGAGTTGCAGAGACTGGTACTGAGTGTTTTCCTCAGGCAGCACCGAGCTCATGGGATAAGACTTTCCAAAATATGTTTGTCACTTTGTACTAAGTAAGGACTCTGCCCAGAGGTTAAAGTTGTGGGACCTATAGGAAATTATGGGTCAGACTGTATGGGGCTTGCCTGAGGTCGCAGAGGAAGTTTGGAGTAGAGCAGGGCCTTAGTTTGGGCCTTGTTCACAAGACCTCAATGACCCCTCACACTCTGAGCTCGTGTGAAGAAGGGAGTTGTGTTCTTGTTGTACTATTGAAAATTAATTTTTTCCAGCTCAACTTTTCAATTCAATATTTGAATTGCAGAAAATTCAAGAGTACAACTTTCAAATTGTACTTTTAAAAAACAGTAGTTACGTGCAAAGTCACAAAACTGTTTCATTTTAGTAGCAGTGGAGAGCTGAGGCCCCCTGCCCTACCCAGCCCAATATCTGCAAAATAAACTGATCCTTTGTGCATGTTGGCAACTTTGGAAGTGTTTTATCAAAACAATTTGTTCTGTGAGTGGAAAAGTATTAGGTCTGTGAGCGCTGGCTAATTAATGGACCCAACCAGGAAGTGTATATGTGGCTCAGCCCGACGTTTGGATATTTGAAGATCAAAAGTTGCCTCAAAGTGTTCAAAGGCATGTGACAGATCTGAGTGGGCCTTAACCCATGTATTCCTTCCCAGTGGCTTGGCCCAAGTGGCCCAGCAACTGCAAGTCTGCCAGGCTGAGAGTAGCTCACCAGCTTGGGCTCTTCTGGCTGCTGGTCAGAGCTCTGCTTGCATCTTTGCTCCTGTGCCTGCTGGAAAGTCAAATGTGACAGCGTTGGGGCTGTTAAAGCAGATATTGTAATAGGAGGAGATAACCCCAGTCTTAGCACAAGACCCCCCCTGTGGCTTAATAGCCCTCATCACCTCTTGAGTCGTGGTGATGTCCCTATGAGGCACGGGATGGCAGGGTGAGGCTAGCTGAAGTTACACTGGCTATATGGCAAGGAGCCAATGAAATGTAATGAATGTGTTTAAAATTTCACGAATGGGTGTTTAAAGCAGGAGTCGATGTCCAAAGTGCCCTTGTTACTATGACTCCTTTTTTTTTTTAATTTTTTGTTTGTTTTTTTTTCCTTCCTTCCTCCTAGATGCAGTTTGATTCTGGTTCAAGGTGTTCACCACATGGTGCACCGACTGGTCTGAAATAATGTCATGTTAGCTGTTTGGATTACTTTGCCCTGCTGTACTTCCAAAGCCCAGAAATGCTATGGTGTGAAGCACCTATAGTTATGATTTTCCTCCCTGTTCCTGCAGCGTGAGAGAGCATCCTGTGGATGCTCTGACTAGACATTGGCTCCTTGCTGTCCTAGCCTGCAGGGAAGCAAATAGGAATATTTGTGCAACAGGCTGCTTTCTTCTTTTCCGGGGTGCTTTAGAAACCTCCTCTCTGTTACTACTAGGAGTAAGGCTAGGTTTTATCTTTACACTTAAGAAGCAGCACAGTTCCGGCATGCCTCTGCAACCCCCAAAGGAAACCACGGCCGAAACAAAAAGCTATTGGCTAATCAAACGACATCCTGGAGCCCATTAGCACTTTCTGTGCGTGGGAGCCAAAGTAAAACTAAAGTGAAATTAAAGCCTTCAGAAAGAAAACTGTCTGAAGCCTCCATTCTAATGATTTAAGACCAGCTGCAATTAAGAGAGTTTCCTTGCTCAGCAAAGTAAGAGATGATATGGAGTAATGTTTCATTAAAGTCAGCTAATCGGCCCTCAAGTGCCCATCTGTACTTAGCAGTCAAATTGTTACACACTATCTTTAGATTTAATAATCAAGGTCATGCAGAGTTTAAACGTATAAATAAATTAAAACCATAAGTTTCCTTTAAATCCTTAGATGTCCCTGGATATCAGGATTTGCTACAGAGGGAGAAAATCTTTTAAGCAGTTCAAGTTTCAGCTGCAATTTGAACCCACGGTGCTGAGCCAGCATAGGCATGGGTCGGAAAAGAGTTGTTATTTACCAAAGTGCGAAAGCGCTGCACTCTCAGGACCTGAAGCGCAAGGAAAACAGAAGTTATTTTCCCGTCTTACCATCTGAAGTCTTGGTGAAGCCCCAGAGTGCAAAACAGCAAAGTGTAGCAAAGCTGTAGGCAAAGTTTGCTGCCATCTCCACCACTCCAGAAGAGGAGCCTTTGAGACAGAAAAGTGCCTGCCTTGCTTGCTTCCTGTAGGTGAAGATGCGCCTCTTTGAAATGTTCTTATTGGCTGAGGAGGGAAGGAAGAGGGGCAAAAAAACCCCAGCCTCTCCCTGCCACGGTCACAGCTCTGACACCGACTTTGTCTCCTGCTGATGACTACACACCTCTAAACTCTGCCACAAAGCTGTTGCTCGGAAATGGTGGTAACGGTTCCTGTTCTGCAGAGGAAAGGGACCTTTGCTTCGTGATCCTCAAGGTTTGTGAAGAAATATGGGTGGTACGTGCAATGTGATACCCTTCCCTTGTTCTGAGAAGTGCGGTGAGGGTGAGGAGAGTAACAGTCATGAGCTTCAAGGTTCATGGGGAAATTTCCTGAAGAAATGAGCTGTGAACCCAGGGGGGAATGTAGCTCCTGACTTGTGGGTGGGTGTCTATGCAGGGTGTGTGGGGAAGCCCAACAGCAAAGATGGGCTCACAATCCTGCTTCCTCTGACATGAGGATGTGGAGTTGGAGCAAGGGGGAACATCAGTTGGGGGTGGAGGGAGACAAGAAAGTGCCAGGTGTACCGTTGTGAGGGGCTCCATCAAGTAAGGAGGAAGAGCATTTTGGCTTCACTGGCTGGGGAGAAGGCTGCCCCATGTTTACAAAAGGTGTTTTGAGAACAGGAATGGGCTGTGTTATGCTCAAAGGAGGGAACGTTTTCTCCACACGTGGAAGAGAGTAAAAGCTAGGGAAAGGAGTAGTTTGACTGTGGCGTGTAGAGCTCCCAGTGGTCAATGTTTGATTTCCAGAGAGATGGTCTCCAGACAGCGATGGCCCATGCTGAGGAGCTTGCAAGTCTGGGAAAAGGGCTTGGTTGCCAGGCCTTGTAGTTTTCATCATGTAGCTGGAATCGCTAGCTGCCAGATTTAGGAGACTGGCAGATGAACTAAGACCTCACTGAAAGGCTGGGCATGGCGAACCTCAGTCTGTGTGTGTATTTGTTTCAGGTGAGCTGGAAGGTGGTCGCCTTTCACTTGCCCCAGCAAACGAGCTGAGCTCCGATCTGAGCAAAATCATCTTACTGCCTGAAGGAAAGCCCTAATGCAGGCCAGTGTGGGTGGCACAAAAGCAGCTAGTGAAGAATCATCTTAGTATTTCCCTGTAGGAAGAGATTAAGTCAACGCCCTGTTGAAATGTCCTACTAAAAATGAATGGGACAAGCATGGTGAGTCATGCTTATCATCAGTCCTACTTGTACAGAACTTCTGAATCAGGCCCCAAAGTCCATGGAAAATGGTGAGAGAAAATGAGAGGGGCTATATTGTTTTCCTTTTTTTTGAATCTCTTTTTGTCCCACAACTGTGGTTATGCGTTATGATCCAGCATGCTAATTCTCTGCTGTAGCCCCGTGTGCAATAGAGTTGCCAAGACACAGGGAGCTTGTTCTTCCACCTCTAAAGCCTCTCTGGCTCCTGGAAGAGCTCACTCTACCTACAGCAGAAGTCCTGAAAGATGAGTCTGGGGGACAGGCAGAGGATCAGAGTAAAGGATACACTTAGGCGGAAAACTAAAGTTTTATGGCAGGACTGACTCCAGTCTGGGCTGGAGAGCGGATAACAACTGGGACTGAGCCTGCCTGCAGTGGCAGACTCATTGGATGTCACTAATGCACATCCTGCTTCAAGTGCAGGCAAGTGTTCAGTTTGGGAAAGATAGTGTTTGCCTTTCCAAAGCACAGTGTTTCTCCTGGATCATGTAGCTCCTGCAAAATGCTGGATGAACACCATGAGGATTTGCCTTTTGCCTTCTGATAGGGTTCAGGTCAGTTCTGGAAGCAAAAATAACTCTGTAGGGAGTACGCAAGAAGACGACACATGAGTAAAATCCATTCCCTCGGTGTTTCCACTGTTTCCCAATGATTCCTGAGACTTTTTTTTTTTTTAACCTGATTTTTGGGAAGGCAGGGTGAGCTGTCCAGGAAAAATCCCCAGACTGCACACTGCAATAAGATACCAGGTATGTTGAATCTCCTAATGAAAGTATGTGTTTCAGGTACTAAGCAGGCAGGCATGCCATCGCAAGAAAAGAAGTGGTTTCCCTGGGCCCCAAATCCCATCCAGCTTTCATTCCTCTGGCTACAAACCTCTATGTTTGCTGATGTTGTCTCAGAAAGTAGGAGCTGAGTCTGGAACACAGACACATATGACTGAGAACACCTTCTCCAATGGGTTATCTGGTGTCTAGCAAAGGCAGAGCTTATCTACTAGGCTATCCCTCAACTGGGGCACAGGTAAAGACCCTCCTTTACGTGGCTGAATTGGGTATCTTCAGGACCTCCCTTTCTCTTCAAAAACTGTGCTCCACAGTTTCTGTCTCACAGAGAGACTCTGGGGGAGTGTCTTTATAAGCCTGTAGTGGAGTCCTTCAGTGCTAGAGAGAGGGGTCCTTGGGGCCCTGGTCATGAGATTGCAAGACATCTCCTGTGTGTAGCTGTACTGGCGTGAGATCCCCTTTGCCGCCCTGCTGCATGACGCCTAGTTCAGGCTATCTGCAAAGACCCCTGTCCCTTTCCTTCCCTCTTTGCTTCCTATTGAGCTTGTGGTCTTTTGATTTGAGCCAGTGTGAGGGACCCAGAGATGGTTCTGCTCAGGGATGAGGTGGCTTTTCTAGAGCACAGATTCTTTCCTTGCTTAAAACAAGTGCCTTGGGATGCCACCAGGAGCCCATTGACCAGGTTTGGTGTGGGCCTGAGTGGGAGTGATGACTAAGGAAGGCAGAGAGGGTGGAGAGATAAGCAGAGCAAGGTGGGTGCCAGAGCTGCAAGGCCACCTTTCTTAGCTGTTGGCACCAGAGGGCACCAGAATGTAATTCACTGTGCCAGAGCCCAAACTTGCCTAGTCCTGGCACATGCAAAGCATCCTGGGCAGCTGATGCTGCATTACCTCTGACCTCAGTGCTGGGGAGATGGGGCCGCTCTTGTTCAGAGCTCTTTCCTCTGCACAGAGGTCAAAGTTGAGCACAAACCTCATGCAGAGCAGAGCTGTCCCCAACGGAGCGGGGACAGACCCCAGGGGCAGTGGCCCTCTGTTTCAACCTCGTCCAGAACTAGCAACCCCTTACTCTTCAGCCCTTGGGCTCTCTCCTTGCTGGGAGGTTGCCTGTGGCTTTGATGGACCAGCTCTTGGACGGCTAATGGTTAGTGCCCTGTGGCAGAAGGGAGCATGCTCTGGCTGTCGGGCCACCTCTGCTGATGGTCTGAGGCAAACCTCACTTGTGCTCCCTTCTGCTGTCCTGCCGTGGCATCTCTGCTGCAGTACCTAACTTTGTCCTGGGAAACTCAGGACCTGCCCTTTCCTGAAGAGCACTCTTTCACTGTTAGCAGGGTTTATAAAGCCAATCAGACTTAAAGAAAGCAGCGTGTGTCTGCAGAGAACAGATTTTTTTTTCCTGCTTTCTGCCCTCTCCCCTTCTTTCCGTTAAAAAATACTCATTTACAATGCTTCCAAATCAACCTTTCCTTTCCCTAAGGATCCCTCTATTACTCTGCTGATCAAATTTCTCCCGTTCTTTTCTCCTAGGAAGTAACAGACCTCTCACTAATAAGCAGTAGTTTTAAATGTGGTCAGTACTACTATGCAAAAAAGCCTGAAAAAACCCCAGAAGAACAAAAAACCCAACCCCCTAAATAACCACAAATGAGAGGAAACTCCTCCTCTAAGCCCACAATATATAAATACTAGTTATTTCTCTTTGACAAGGCAATTTCTGTGCAATGGAGAGAGGAGGAAGCTGTGACTGGAGAATGGCCCATAAACTGCCCTGGGTTAACCTTGGAGGGCCCGGCTCTTGAAAAGTGTTTGCGTTCAACTGGGAATTAGGTGTCTCCGTTGGCTTTTTCCCTAAGATTGCCCCACTCTTAGGCAAAGGAAGTACATGGGAATGGTGTCTTGCTGTCTCCAACTTTGCATTGTCTCCTCCCAGCCAGGTGCCATGTCTCGGGACGCAGAAGGCTACTGCTGTGTGCCCCAAATCTTTCCCCAGGAGGAGCGCAGCAATGTGGTGTCCACTCTGGCATCCACCCCAGGAAAATGAGGCAGACCCTCTTCTTGTTTCAGCTCCCTCGGCAACACTGATGTGAATTTGACTTGCTTTGCCTGGCATACGGGTCCAAACCTCTCCTCCAGATCAGCACAGGGCATGTGCTGCAGTCTGTGTGGTGGTTTCCACTCCCTAAATTTCCCATAATGTGGTTGTTTCTGTGTAAGCAGAAATCCTGAGCAGGGAGAAGATGAGAGTGAGTGGGCAGAGGAAGGCTAGCTGATTATCCCAGGGTAAGCAGCACATCTGCTTTAATCCAACAGCTAGCCCCGACCCGGTCTAAATCAAACTCGTGACCCTTCTGTGTTAAGCTGGGTTAAACAGATCTTAAAAGACTTGCACTCCTGAAGAATACTCTTGTTTGTTTTTGTGCGAAGAGGGGATGTTTAATGCAAGTCATGGGAGACCGAGTCTGCTCTCTTTTCTGCAAGTTTGCAAAGCCTGTTCATTCTCTCACTGTTGGCCTGGGTTATTAGAGGCTTGGAAACTTTGCAACCATTGGGATTTTTTAATTAAATAACACCCCCTACTTTTATTACCCATGCAGACTTCATCAAAGATGCAGTTATCGTTTCCTTTTCTGTTGAAGAAGCAAAACCACAGTACATGAAGTCTCACTTTCATGACGTTCGGTGCACTCAGTGGATTTTTCAGCATCACTTTGTTTCCTTCATTCAAGGCAGACCTTTGGCTGTACAACACAGCCTGATGATAGCCTGCACGGCTTCCTGGAATAACACCGGCGGGGGGCTGCATGGAGTCACTCCTGAGTTACGCTTCTGTAAATGCAATCAGCATCTGGCCCTGCACCCACTTTTTTTTTCATTTGCAATTCTGACTCCCTCTTTGCACTTCATGGATCAATGCGGGACTGTAAGAAAATCATGTCATAAACTTTTGCAGGGATTTGGAGAATGACTGGAGGTAGAATGTGCTTGAACTGCACTTTCAAAAGTTTTAATTAAGACAGATTTACCAGTGTCAATAGTTGTTTTCTTTTTCCTTTAATTTTTCTTACATTTTCCAGGCCTTCATCTGATCCCCAAGGCAGCTAATTTAGTTGAATTTGCTTTAATGAAGGATCTGAGCAGGAAGATGCTTTTTTGGCTGTCAGCTGGAACATAGAAATCACCACATTTCAGTTTTTGGGAGACTACTTCATGAGAAAATGTGTTACTTTGGCAGAGTGCCAACAACAGACTGCAGGCCTTAGAAGAGAATGAGGTGAGCATGATGTCTTCTTCCACACTGGAGACCTACTCTTTGGTGCAGATGCTGAAATGTGTCATGCTGCAGAGACAGGACAGCCCAA